CGGCCGATACCAGCAAAGTGCCACAGACAGCAGCCGAGAGCAGCAGACAGCAGCCGAGAGCAGCAGACACCAGCAGGGAGCAGCAGAGAGCAGGAAAGAGCAGCAGACAAGAGCAGAGAACAGCAGAGACCAGCAGAGAGCAGCAGAGAGCAGGAAAGAGCAGCAGACATCAGCAGACACCAGCAGAGAGCAGCAGAGACCAGCAGAGAGCAGCAGAGAACAGGAAAGAGCAGCAGACAGCAGCAGAGAGCAGCGAATAGTGGCAGAGAGCAGCGACATCGTGTCTTTTGTGGCAAATACCAGCAAAGACCAGCAAAGACCAGCCAAGCTCGGGTGGTATCCTCCCTTCTCCGCGCTGCGTTGTTGGGGGGAATATTTTCGCTTGAGACATCCTCGCAATTCTGGGCCCCGAGATGTGTTGAGTTCGGGTGGTCAGGCCACTTTCGCCTGAGAGATCCTCGCAACCCGACCTCGGAGATGCGCGGCCTCATGGTGGTCCAGCCACTTCCGCGTGAGACATCCTCGCAACTCTGGGTTCCGATATGCCCTGAGCTCGGGTGGTCAGGCCATTTGTTCTGGGACATCCTCGCAACTCTGACCTCTCATCTGGCCTCCTCCCCGTGTGTCCCTCCCTCTCCGAATCTTCGCCTCTGCGGCATGTGCGAGCATGTGTGTTTATAGTTTCGGAGTTTGTCCAGGCTGTGCATCCGACTGTGCGTCGGACTGTGTGGCATGTGCGCGCATGTGCGGTCATGTTGTTGAGGCTCTTGCAGTGTTGCATTGGCATGCGCATGCGACTGTGCCGCACGCGCGCGCATGTGCGGCCCCTTCCGGGGTTCAAAACGAATGCGATCACCATAGAAGTGAACACGATTGAAGTGAGCCCGGTGACGGCGGCGAAACGTTGGACATCCTCGGAATTGAGGCCAGGGAAGCCTTGAATTGAAGTGAGCTGGCCCGTTTTCTCTGCGTTCAAAGATGCGGTTCTCGAAGTGTTCGGGCCGGTTTCGCTTGAAACATCCTCGGAGGTGAAGGTTCCGAAATACCTTTGTTTGAGATGCGCTTGCCCGTTTCGCTTGGGACATCCGCGCATGTCGTTCAGGAGCTGGCCGGGGGGTCGTTCAGGAGTCTTGGGGCAGCTTGCGCCGTTGGAGCGCTTCTTCCTTGGCCCCGTGGTCTCTTCAGTGGGTCTCTCCGTGGTCCGTTCTTGGTCCCTCCGTGGTTCTGTTTTGCTCCCCTCTCGGCCCCTTCTTGGCCCTGTCATGGCCCCTCCCTCCGTGGTCTCTCGAAGGTCCCTCCTTGGTCCCTCGGTGGTCCCTTCGTGGTCCTTCTTGGTCCCTCCCTTTGGTCCTTTGCGTGGTCCCTCCGTGTTCCCTCCGTGATCTTTCCGTTGTCCTTTCTTGGTCCTTGCGTGGTCCTTTCGTGGTACTTCCCTGTGGTCCCTCGCGGGCTCCAACGACGAGCGATGGTGATGACCACGACGACGTCCAGAAAATTGTGGAGACCCCAGCAGAAGGCCCCAGACCACCTCGGGGCCACCAGGCGACGATGAATATGGTCTTGGAGCTTATGACGAGCACGTTGGTAGCCATCTTGGATGAACGTGCTGAAAGTGGGTCCACATTGAAGGCTCCGTAGGGCAATGCGGAGTCCAACGAGGGCAGGCGGAACCACATCGGGGCCGTTTTCGGAGATTTTGGACACCCCAGCCTTTTCAGGAACCACCGGCAGGTTCTTGAGGAGGGTGCCAGGGGAGAAATTAACGGTAAATCGGTCTCCCACTTGGACGGACGAAGGATTGGAAGAGCTGATCCCCAAAGCCACCCACGGCCAATCGGAAAGCCACGCTCTTGGTCAGGAGTCCTGCCCTTGGCCAGCCCGTCCGTCGCCCTTCCAGCAACAACGAACTCCAGACTTCTCGACCCCGTAGCTAGCATCCACTTCGCGCCGTTGATCGTTTTTGGTTTTTGCGCGAGCCTTGTCAAACGCAACCGGCATCCAATGTCTTCTGCAATCTCTGCCAACAGTTGGGGGGATGCCCCAGTCGCCTAGGCATCTTGATTGCAGCCCCCCTCTGGCGCACTGATGTGATGCACTTCGTGGGCCCGTCGCCGTTTTGGCTCCGACAGCGCGCCCCCAATGGTGTCGCCGTAACAGTGACCCGTCGGAGACCACCTCAAGAACGCTAGCTAGCGCTCGGTTTCCCGAGCCCGGACGAACCAGTGCGCATGGCGGCAGAACGTTTGCACAGCGTTCTCAAAGATTTGGGGGCGCCGGACATCGCTGCCGCGGGGTTACTCCAACAAGCACAGCGCATTGCTGGCGGGAGCTGTGGTGCCCTGTCCCATCCGAACCGGAGCTGCCCACACTGTAAAGGGCCCATGCGCCCGCAGGAGCGGGAGGCTGTGACAGCAAGTGTGCTTAGTGTAGGTGGATGGGAATCGCGGCGCCACGTGCCGTTGAGATGCGAGAGGCGCGGGTGCGCGCGAAAGCGCGTGTGGTATAATTACATTTCAGAGTCTACGAACAACCATGCGTGGCATTGGAGTGGACACGATCGGCTGGGATATTTTTTCCTTGCCAACACCTGGGGCGTGTCTGCCCAGTGGCTGCGGCAATTCACGCAGCGCTTAGCCTTCCAGCACGCGTCTTTTGACAGCGAGGCCAAGGTTTACGGGGAGGCAGCTCGTCGAGCAGGGCTCGCAGAGGTGGCCCCGTTCAGAGCAGATTTGAAGTTGCAGAGGGCCTGGATCGCGCGGCGCGTTATGGCCCGTATGTTCGAGCACGGGAACGGCCAGGGGGAGCTGAATTTGTTGAAGACGTCGCCGGACTTGATAAAAACCATTTGGTCATGGTACCCAGAGCGCATGTTCAGCCGACGAGTGCAGGGGCTCACGGACAGCGGGCGCTCCATCAACACGATCGTCATAGATGGGAATGCGAAACTGGCCCGCCGGATCTGCGGGCGAGCTGTTGCCGAACTGATGTACTCCCCCTCCTTGGAGAGGTACACTGCAACGCAGTGCTCTTGCAAACCGGGATTCAAGCTGAAGCGTTGCAGCAAGCACTTGGCTCGCGCCCTGACTGAGGATGACGGCCCGCCGCAAAGTGAAATCATTGTTTCGCACAAGCGCCGGCGCGTGCTGGAAACGGCCCCCAGGGCTGAACCGTACGACGTGTGCCTCGTGGCGCGGGACCAGAAAGATATCCCAGGAGCGCCGAGGCTCTGGGCCGCCGCGTGCCAGGTCACCCAGGGCCAACTGCAAGAGTACTGGGGCAATGCTGGACACCAGGCGTACATCCCGGCGATGTCACCCGACGCGGATTTGCAGTCCGTGTCGCGCAGGACCCACAAAGAGGCGCAACTGGGCAGGGCCAGCCGCGGTTCGACCCCGAGCCAGTTCAGCAGAAAATGCGGCTGGCTTTACGCCTGCACTCCAGAAGGCTACATCGTGCATCTGAAGGAGTACGTGGGCGCAGAGAGTCTGCCGCAGCGCTACTTCTTCTTGGCGGAGGTCGTGGAGAAGGCCCCAGCAGTCGACGTTGTCCGCCACGACGATGCTTGCCATTTGCGGCGGTACGCTTCGAAGCGCGAGGGCGACGGCGCCTTCGCGCGCAGGCTCGCGTACCCCAACGTCAAGTACATAACCGACGGACTGCGCGACAGAAACCACGTGGACCCCTGGCGCCTAGCAAATTGTTCACCTAAGGCAGACTGCAACAAGGAGCTCGTGAAGAACATCAATAGCCAGATCTGCGAGCAGCTGTTCTCGTCTCTGGGGCGCCACAAATATTCTGTGCGCCGCATGGGGCAGTTTACCTCGGCCTTCTTGCTAACGGAACTGGCCGAAGTGAAAAATGAGGCCTGGCTGGCCGAGCAGGCGCGCGCGGCCCGCGCGGCCGCGAGTGCGGGGCAGCCGCGGAGCGAGTGAGCGAGGCCGCCCGGGCCCGCGCGCCGATTGCCCGCTGCTTAGGCACCGCGCCCGCCATGTCCGGAGCGTTGCACGGTTGGGCCAGGTGCATGTACACGTTGCACAGAGAGAATGGAGAACGGCGTGGGCGGGAAGGAAAATGACCAGGCGCGGTCGGGGCAGCCGATGGGAATGACAATTGCCCGAGCAGAACCCGCGCGAGTGCACTCCTAGGGGCCCACCACCTGGTCCTCGCAGACAGTTGGCTCGAGTGGGAACCCGACTTGGCCCCGACGCGCGGCGGGGGGGCGACGCGGCAGTTCCGAGATGAGATGCGCGCCGTGTGGGGCATCGTCGACAAGGAGTACGACTCCAGGGTCGCCTTGGGCCACAAGGCATCGCAAGCGATTCTCACTCTAGCCGCCCGGGCGTCACATCACGAGTTCCCGTTCGGAATGGGAATCCTCGCCCACCTGTGTGCTTGCACCAACGGTGCACTGACCAACATATTCCCTGGTGACCCAAGCCCGGTAGTCTTGCCGGTCGTCAACATCAATTACCCGCAGACTCGGAAGAGCTCCACGCACCGGGCGGGCCTCGTCGTGGGGCGCGCAATTGACGACCACGTGCTGGCGACTGCGAGCGCCTTGGCCACGGGGGCAGGCCCTGGCGCGGAGCTCAGATTCGCCGGCCGATCGAGCACCTGAGCGAGTCAGCGGCGGATCGGATCGCGGGAGCGACCAGGCCGGGCCAACCGCCAGGGGGGATCGACCGGCTCGGCGCGGGAAATGCGATCGTTCAGTCCGATCGCGCGGGGATCCCAGACCCCCGACGCAATGATTTTTTCATTACGTCGACCCCCAGAGGTCCCGACCCTTTCCCCATGACCGGCTTCGCATCCTGAGCCGTTTTTTGACGCTCCCGAGGCCCGGTGAGGGCCCCCGGAGGCAGAAAATTTGGAAAAACCTCCCGTCATGATTTTTTCATGATTCGAGGGGGTCTGGGATCTCGGAATGGCGCCTGCGAGGCGACAACGTCGGGGCGCACGGAAGGGCGGGGTTTGCCCCTTCGGTGAAAGTGGAATCGTCCATGCTCACGAGTTTCACGGAGGCGACGTTCTTCTTGCGATGCGCCGGGGACTGGGACCAAGTGGCCCCGAGCGAGTCGCACGACTTGTCGGGGCGCGTGTACTACGGGACATTGATCAACCTAGACGAGGCGTACCGCTTCCTCAAGATGGTCGGCCTCATCCCCGCGCAGAACACAAAGGGCGGGCAGCGTGCGAATGGTGGGGCTGCCCGCCTTGCCCCCTGCTTGGAGACTGATGAAGAGGCCCGGGCGACGACCGCCCCCTCCGTTGTCGCGGGGTGTCGGGGGAGATGGGCCCACCAGACTGACCTGGCAGGGCGAGGCCGGCCCCCTGCGCATTCGCGTGCGCCGGGGCAGGCGGCGACGCCGGGGGCATGCCGGCCGACGCGGCATCGGAGTTCAATAAGTTGATGCAAACAGGCCACACGGCAATGACTACAAAGACAGCGGGTGCGTTCGGTCAAGGAAGCGCCCCAACGGTCTCGATTGGCATCAGTGGCAATGGGCGCCCTTCCGTCGTTGTGCCGATGCTGCGAGGCTCCCTCGGCGCTGACGCAGTGGCCACGTCGTGCCGCTTGCTGTTCGCGTCGGGTCGCCCTGTGGAGCCTCACTCGCCGCCCCCCGTGCAGCTCGAGGCCCCGCAGGGTTTCAAACGTTGGCAGTGGCCGAAGCTATTGGAATGCATGGTATCTCCGCTGGGCCTGCCGAGCGAGGCGACAAACCACGCGCTTGCTCGGGGCGCATTCCGCCTGGCGCCCGCGCACGAGACCCAGGCGACCCAGGAGGAGTCTGACGCAGAGGATGCACCGGCTTAGTTACAGAAAGCGGGGGGCCTGAGATGTAGCACACCTCACCCAGTGGCCTGCTCTACTTCTACCCGGGCCTGCCTGGCCCCACCCGAGGCTCGCCCCAAAGCCCTAACCCTACTTACGTAAAGCCCCTGCCTAAGCTCACCCAGAGAGCACTTGGGCCAACCTTCCAGCGTTCCCCAAGACCCATGCCCAAGGCCTGCCCTGGACTTGCCCCGGGGACCTTGAGTAAACTAGCCCAGGCGACCCTGAGTTTGTCCATGACCACCCTGGAGCATGTAGTCCCTTCGACTACCATAAGTCTTTGGTGAAGCGACAGGCGGGCCCCCCCTCGGGCTCCGTGCCTGCCCAGGAAGACCACGTCGCGTTCGAGCCAGGCCCCCGTGGATACTCCTTGCGTCTCGTGGACGGCACGATCACGAGGCTCCGCTTCAGGAACCGCGGCGGCGTGTTCGAGCCGGAGCTGCGCGCGACGAACCGCGACATCCCCGTGACGCAGGGCGTGGACGTGAAGAGCATGGCCAACCGCGTGCTCGAACACTTCAAGGTGAGCCACACGGTAGTGCCTTGGTCAGAGGAGGCCCGGTTGACCTTCAAGGGCTTCCAGATGGTGTTCGACGCGCAGTGCGCGCTCATGCGGGATCAGGGCAATGAGACTCGCGCGGCCTTGTTGGGATCCAGCCCTTGGATGCTCGGCATGATCTCGGTGGCGCTGCTCATTCTGGAGATCGCGGTTGGCGAGGCGCCGATGGGTGGAGAGGCCAAGGTGATGGAGCATCACGTCGTCCGGGCGTGGGACATCCTTGAGGTCTCGGGGCCCTGGGAATCAGCACCGCGCAAACTGGGGCATTGGCGGACCCATCCAGGGGGGGGGACTTGGAGACATCCTGGCCCGTGGTTCCAGCATGCAGTCGGCTGCGCGGGCTCCCCCCAGGTGTTTTTTGGTTGTTTTCATTAGTTCTGTTGCGGGGCTCTCGAGGTCTCCCACAGCGTTCGCATCACCCTTGAGGAAGGGCGCGAGAGCCAGGAGGTGGGGGAGGAGAGAGAGAGAGGGCCGCGCGGGACGCCGCCAGCCGCAGGGCTGCCGGCGCAGTCCGAGTCGGCGCGGTCGGCGACGAGTGGGGCCAGTGGGCCTTGACCCAGGCTCAGCCGCGGCGCGCCCTCCCAGGCCGACCGAGGAATCAAGCCAAAATTGTTCCCTACCTAGGCTCTGTCTAGAAGGGTTCCTACTCTCTGTGCTGAAAGGGCCGAGCAGTGGGGCTCGCTCCGGGCGGTTCCCCCGGCGTCCGCCCCACGGTTCCCCAAGTTGCGCCCCCTGGGTTCACCCAGCTTAGCTGAGCTAAGCGTAGCTCAGCTTAGCTTATCTCATTTTAGCTTAGCTTAACTTAGCTTAGCTTAGCTTTGCACAGCCTAGCTCAGCTTGGCGTAGCCTAGCTTAGCTTAGCTTATTTCATCTTAGCTTTTAGCTTAGCTTAGTTCAGCTTGGCTTTGTTTAGCTTGCCTTAGCTTTGTCTAGCCCAGCTTAGCTTATCTTAGCATAGCTCAGCTTACCTTCGCTTAGCGCAGCATCGCGCAGCGCAGCATTAGCACAGCATAGCATAGCATAGCCAAGCACAGCCAAGCATAGCCAAGCATATCATAGCCTAGCGCATCATGCCATAGCACAGCATAGCATATAATAGCGCAGTATATCAGTATATTGTACCATATCATAGCATTGCCTAGCACAACACAGCACAACATATCATGCCATAACATATCATATCATATCCTTCCATAGCATATCGTAGCATAGCGCAGCAGAGTATAGCATAACAGAGCATAGCATAGCGCAGCAGAACATATCATGGCATAGTCTAGCATAGCCTTGAGATGTCCGCAGATCGCATCGTATCATATCATAGCACAGTACATAATAACCTAGCGGAGCAGAGCATCGTATCATAGCATATCATAGCATGGCATTGAGATGTAGGTGTAGGTTTAGATGTGGATGTAGGTGTAGGTGTAGATGTAGATGTAGATGTAGGTGTAGATGTATGTGTAAATGTAAGTGTAATTGTGAGTCTCGCTGATGATGTTGATGTAGATGTAGATGCAGGTGTAGATGTACATGTAGCTGTCGGTGTAGATGTAGATGTTGTTTTCCTCAATGCTCCAACTCCTAGGTAGGGTCGCACTGGGATAATTCGCGCCAAAGGGAACCGCAGGCCGCGGGCCCTTGATTCGCGGGGCGCTCTCACGAGCAGTGCCATGCCACGGGCCAAGGGCAACCGGGGAAGGCGCGGGGCCAAGGGCAATCGGGGAAGGCACGGGGGGGAGACATTATCCGGAAGGCCCCTTATCAAAGTTGCGGCTCCGCACGGCAGGTTCCGACGTCGGCGGCGGCTCAGCGGGCGGCGGCGTCGATGGCGAGGGCGACCGCGAGTTCGAGAGGCTGGGCGATCAAGCCAGCCACGGCGGCGCGTCGGCCGCGGAGGAGGAGGGGCCGCCGCTGGCGAGCGTGGCCAACGACGGCGCGGGAGACGCCGCAAGGGCGCCGGCGGCGGCGGCTGCGGCCGAGGGGGGCGGCGCGGACGCAGACGCCCATTTCCTGATGCCCGGCGACCCGGAGGTCCCCTCCATGGATGAGGGGCACGGCGGGGACCAGAGATGGCGCTTGCGCGGGGTGGGGTCGGCGTGGGCAAGGGCAAGGGGGCTTCGAGCCAGGGTGGAGGGGCCTCGCCCAGCTTGAAAAAGCTTCCACGGGCTCAGAGGGGGTGTGAAAGGGATGGGAACTGCGCGTCGTTGATCGGCTTCCCTCAGGACGGCGCCTCGGTGCAGATGCAGGAGCACGGCGACGTGTTCCTCACCGACAGGGAGATTATGAAGAGAACTATTTTGCGAGGAGAACCCATTGTCTTCTGTTCGGATGTGCGTGGCTCCATCCGGAAGACCCTGCCGAGCCAGGAGCCAGGCGTCCGCGGGAGAACAGTCGCCCTCCGGCAGCACCATTGGAAGGCGGTCACGCAGGCGGGCCTCAGCCAGTATCACATTGGCACGTACGACGACGGCTCGAGCGCGGAGGACCAGCCGGGCGCCCCGCGGATCCACTTGAAGCTGCCGCCGACCGACCGCCGCGACCTCCACCTGCCATTCCACAACCGCCTGATGAAGCTGTGCGGCGTTTCCTTGCAGGCGTACACGAGTGCGATTGGGGCAAAGGAGACCAGGAAGAGGAGAGCTCCGCCTGCCTCCGCCAGCGCTCCGCGAGCCGCGCGGCAGCGGGGGGCTGCGGTGCCCGGCGGGCAGGCGGGGGCCCCGCGCGGCCCGGGCGCGACGGCGGCGGCGGGCGGAGTAGCAAGAGGAATTGCCGGCGGCGCGGGAGGGGCCGACGCGGCGGCGACGGCCAGCGGCGCAGCGCCGACGCCCGCCGGCGCGGCAGGCCGCGGCGCGGCACCGGCGCGGGCGCGCCCCAGCCGCGCCCCGGGAGAGTGGTAGAGTCTGAGTGGTGGGGCGTAGTCGAATGAGAGCATGGGTGAATCGAGCCGCCCACGCCTGCGCCAGGTGTCCGTCGGGATGCTAGGGTGCGGGGCGCCCCCTCCGGCAGTTTTGGCCCCCGACCGCTTAGATGCGGGCGCTCCTTGGCAGTTTTGGCACCCGATCTATACCCTGCGGTCTCAGCGCACCTGTACTGGGCAGCTCCGGCATACTGGCTTCGCGCAGGACGCAAGAGAGGATCAGGACCAGGAGTAAAAGGACGATCAAGGTAGCCAGTTCGAGCGCGTCAAGCATGGCATGCACGTCCCCACCGTGATTCCCGCCCGCCCTCCCACAACATAAGAAACAGTGAAGGCGCAATCGGTAACCGAAATCAATCGTCAAGGTGGTGTGGCACAGCTGATGCAGCCGCCATGGTGGTTACCGATGGGGAAGTCCTCGCCCGTCTCAATGGCTGCGCTGGCACTTCAGCACGAACCGAGGAGGCCCCAGGAGGCCCCAGGAAGCTTCAGGAGGCCCCAGGAGGCTTCAGGAGGCCTCCCTGAGGCGGTGGGACGCTCCAGGGGGCTCCAGGAGGCTTCAGGAGGCCGCAATTCGCATTGCCGACGACAAGACAGGCCATGTTGAAAGGAAAAGCGGAGACTTTGTATTGAGTTTTGACAGTCAGGATGGGAGGGCCCAGATTGACGTCCGCGCGCGATGCGCGCCGCGTCCCATTCCTGCCACGCAGTTCGCATCGTCGACGACAAGACAAGCCATGTTGGGAGGGAAAACGGGCATTTTGCACTGATGTCACACAGTCTGGATGGGAGAGCCCGGATGCAACCGCCATCGGCCAGACAGAGGGGAGAGTAGGAGTATATACGAATAAGGAGTAAGAATGAGGAGGATGTGGAACGATATTGCCATGCATCTTCCCGTCCCATGTCCCCATCTGTATACGTAAGTCCTCACAGATTTTCTGCGTTCACAAGTGGACGCGCACATTTGAAAGACAGGCGCTCTGCGGGCGTGGCGTTCACGACCCTGACTCTGGATCCGCCCTACTTTGGGGAAATTCGTAAGTGGGGCTTGGAATTTCCGCCTTAGTTTTCAAGCCCGGCTGATGCCAATTTCCGCCCTACTTTTCTGTTGCTGTTTCTCTGGGTGTCCGCCCTATTGCACGTTGGGTGCAGCAATTTCCGCCCTACTTTTTCGGCCCCTTCTAGGTGGATTTCCGACGCAATTTGAAGTTGGAAAAAAAGCCAAAGTAGGACGGATCCGGAGTCAGGGGATTCGTGGCAGACCCGGGGCACCCAGCACAACGCCCGGCGCACCGAAGGCACCCGGCGCCGAGCGAACCCGACGCGCGTGGCGCACCCTCCGCACCGAGCGCACCCGGCGCCGAGTGCACCCGGCGCACCCGGTACACCCGGCGGCCCGGCACCCGGCGCCGAGAGCATCCAGGACACCCGGCGCACCCGGCACCGAGCGCACCCGGCGCCGAGTGCACCCGGCGCACCCGGCACACCCGGCGGCCCAGCACCCGGCGCCGAGTGCACCCGGGACACCCGGCGCACCCGGCGCCGAGCGCGCCCGGCACACCCGGCACACCCGGCGGCCGGGCACCCGGCGCCGAATGCACCCGGGACACCCGGCGCACCCGGCGCCGAGCGCACCTGGCACACCCGGCACACCCGGCGCACCCGGGACCCCGCACAAGCAACTGTTATGTGAACCTGGACGACAACGTGATCATCCAGGACATTAAGATCCAGGACCAGCCGACTGGGTACAGCTATAACGCACCATTCCCGGATGGTGTTACTAACATTTGTACCCGACTATACTGGGAGCAGCCGGAACCAACCCTTCTGGGAGATGGCAGGTCACCGCCACGCTCAAGGCGAGTGGCGATCATCGATGACGATCGTCTTCCTCCCCCTTCGATTGAGCGCGGCAGCGTGCTACCCTCTATTCCAGAATTCCCGACACTTAGCTTACCAGAAACAGAACAACAGACAGCATCACCAACATATGCCAGAATCAAACAAAAAGAAAAAGAGAAGGCAGACAAAGAAGCTGGCATCAAACCACGCAAGATACCCAAAATAGTCGAAGAAGGCAACGACGACTGTGGATACGACCTCAAAGGACTCGGTTGTAGCGCGTACTACACCGATGTACCTCTGGACTCCGACACGGATAGTAACGGTGACGAGGAGTCCTTCATCACCCTACCTGCGGGGCAACCTGCTGAATCCTACGCAGATGTATTCTCCATAATCCCCATCTTGTGTTATGGACGACACAACAAGGTAGACATGTTGGAACTATGCGGAGGAATTGGAGGTATCTCCCAGCTAGCAGTCAGCCGAGGTATGTCTTCAGGGGGAAACCTCGACAAACGTACTTTCTTTGATCCTGGAAACAAGGAGGTCCAAGATGCAGTGATGCACTATGTAGACGCCTGCTTCGTTAAGGTCGTCATATTACAACCCAGTTGCCGAACGACCGGCTTACCTTCCTACTTCCATGCTAAGGTTAACTACGACACTTGGCACGAGCATCATAAAGGGGATTTACCACACATCAAGTTCTGTGGGAAGGTAGCTGTACGTCAAAATGATCTTCGACGATTCTATTTTCGAGAACAACCAGTTGGGACTTGGGTGGATCAAATACCGCCATGGACTGCGTTGGCCAACAGCAAGGGCACTTGCAAAGTACAGATGGAACAATGCACTACAGGCCTGCGCGATTTCCATGGGGTCCTAATACGAAAACCGACTGGGATCATGGCTAGACATCGCTTATTACTTACCCCTTTTGAACGAAAGCGATGTGATGGCCATCGTCCACATGCGTCGGTGTGCAATAAGGAACTGCCCATGGCTGCACAGTACACACCCAAGATGCAGTTGCTCTTTGTTGAATCTGTTCAGATCGCACGCAACCTTTTCCAAACAACTCGCGACCCTTTCCATGGTTACCCATATTCGTCTACCGTGTTGGCGACCAACGCAAGGGGATACGATTTGGACGATCCGAGTCTTCCCCGAGAACTTGACGGCTCGATGACGAGACCACCGTCGGGAGGGATTGGCTGTCCTGCCTGCGCGGATAACGTGAATATGCACTCTCCATCACATGATCGGAATCCGAGACATTGCAGATGGCACGACATGGATGACTATCATTGGGAGCGTCCGAGTTGCAGGAAGAACTACGGGAAGAACAAACCTGGACAAGCACTAACACCTGGCAAATGCAAGTTTGCCAATCCTTGGAAGCCCCCCGACAATCATGGACAGATCCCGCCGTATCCCGTCGGACCGGCAGCAGGACCTGCACCGCCAGATCCTGCCGAAGTAGCAGCACCTCCACCTGAGGCACCAGCAGCACCAGCACTTACGCGACTGAGAGCACCTAGACCTGGCCTGAGAGCTGGATCTACCGCAGGCGCAAGCAGTCACGACATCACCGTTGGAAGACATGCTGCTGAGCCAGCTGCAGGGCAACCTGCCTCAAGCGGAGCCGGTAGCTCGGATGACCACCTCCGACTACCACGGGTTAGAGTCAGACGTGGTCGACAGCAAGGCGGAGAAGCGCCTCCACCACCACCAGCAGGGAACCCTGCCGCACGACCACGACTACCAGACTGGCCACGGTTCGACGTACACAGCAGTCTACAACATTTACGAAGCCTTGACCCCAGCGTGGTAACGCGCGAGTTGTGAAAGCTACACTTACGCTGTTCCTATGCGAAAGAGCTTAAGACGAGACTCATCTTAAGCAAAATAGGTCTGGACAGTGTTAGACTCAACCTTATCGAGGGCGTCTGCGATGCATGCCGAGAATGCAGAGTTTGGGTCAAACCTGGACACACAGTTATGCCCTCTACTGCATTATCTGGTAAATTGAATGACGAAGTGGAATGTGACTCGATGTTCTACAAGCAAGAACACAAGACATTTCACATTATCGACCGTTGAGTACGATATGCTACTGGAATGGAAATACCAGATAAAACGATGACTACTACCCCTGGATGCATATCATCAGTGATGGAAGCAATTTGCACCAGCGAAGGTATTATATTCGGATGGAGAAGGTGCCCTTAATAATGACACTGCGAAAGCAGTTCTCAAGGCCAAGGGCACTGAACTTAGAACACGCGCGCGTGGACAGCACGCTACGACGATCGAGGCCAGAAATGGCATCCTACGTCATCTACTTCACGTAATGGAGGCTGAACTCCAAAGGGTTAGACACATTCTTTGTGTTCACAAGACAACTGCATGAAGCCTTGTTTGCTGCCAACGCATTCACTTTCTACAACGAGGTGTCTCCATGCAATGCATTATTCGGACGGCAACCAGCAATGCTCCCTGACCTCCCTGTTCTGGACCACGAGCAGTCGACAGAACATCAGATCATTCTCGCGAAATACGCAGGGTATGCATTGAGGCGATCACACAGGCCACGGCAGTAGCTAAGACCAATCGTGCTCTTACGCACTAAAACGACAACTACAGGTTAGCATTATGCTGACGGAGGTTTGGTTGACTACCATCGCCCTACGACTACTAATGGTGACTGGGGAGGCTGGAACGGCCCGTTCCCAGTTGTGAGGAATGACCCCGAAAGGGGCCAGGTCACCATCCGAGTAGGCAACCGAGATGTTCAAGTACAATGCGGCGATGCAAGACACTCGCTCTACATTGAGGCAGCTATAGCCCGAGAGATTGGCTCCGACAACACTGCACTACGCACAGGGTTGACATTCGGAGCTAGCCTTTCAGCGGGGAGACCTGCGTCGACATGTGGCTATGCGCCGACCACGAAAGGCACGCTTCAGATGACAACGGCAAGTCGCCTATCTCCAAAGGTACACTTGGCCCTACAATATCTCATGAGAAACTTCATCCGCATCGAGAATGTTGTTTCGGTCAGATTAGCCAAGAGTATTCACAAGCTACCCCCGGTTTTATGCTGACAGTTGCACATTGGTTCATTCT